ATTCCATAAGAATACTATAGGATTCCATCGAGATCCTAAAAGATTCCATCAAGCTCCTATGCGATTCAATCGGGACCCTATGGAATCCCATAGGGATCCTATAGGATTCCATGGAGCCTACAGGATTCCATATGGATCCTATCAGGTGCCGTAGGGATCCTATAAGAATCCCATAAGGATCCATGGGGTCCTAGAGGATTTCAAAGGGATGCGGTTGGGAAGTTATAGGATGCCGTAGGGATCCCATGAGATCCCACAAGGATCTTATGCAATTCCATGAAGATCTAATGAGATGCCCCAGGGATCGTGCAGGATTCCATCCGGATCCGATAGGATCCCTTAAGGACCCGATAGGATGCCATCGGAATCCGAACCTCCTTCTCCTCCTCCGCCTCCCCCTCCTCCTCCTGCTCCTTTTCCTCCTTCCGCTCCTCCTGCCGCTCCTCCTCCTCATCATCATCTTCCTCCTCCGCCTCCTCCTCATCCTCCCTCTCCTCCTCCTCCTCCTCCTCCTCCTCCTCCTTCTCCTATCATCATCAGCATCATCAGCATCATCATCATCATCATCATCATCATCATCATCATCATCATCATCATCATCATCATCATCAGCATCAGCATCATCATCATCATCATCATCATCATCATCATCATCAGCATCAGCATCATCAGCATCATTTTCATCTTCTTCGCATGGTTTGCGACGGGGGGCGATTCGGAGTTTCTCGGATTCGGGGTTTATCGGCTGGGCCGTCGTCCTCCCGGCGCCTCTGACGGAACAGGCGGTGTCGCAGGATGGCCGCCGTACGGCAGGTTCGCACCGTGGCATCATCGGCGTTGGCCCCGACACCGCGGCGACCGTTCGGCCATGCACGATTGCCGCTGTCCGAGCGCGCAAGTCGTTCGATGCTGGCCGACCCCTGGCAACCTGCTGCGCTCGACCCCGAGAACCCGCGCCGGCACCGCCACCGCAGCGTCGTCGTCGCCGTCGTCGTCGTCGCCGTCGCCGCCGTGGCCGTCGCCGCCGCCGCCGCCGTCGTCGTCGTCGTCGTCGTCGTCGTCGTCTGCCGAGCGGGGCGGGCGGCGAGCCCGCGCCCCGCCTGCGCAGGCAGATGGAGAACGCGGTGATGCCGAAGCTCGAGAGCAGCGTCTTGTCGCTGTTCTGCATCTCGAAATTGGGGCCGATGCCGACGATGGCCGCGAACTGCCGCGGCGGGGCCGGTCGTCCGCGACCCCCCCCCGTCCTGGCCGGGACCGAGCCTGGGCCCGGGATGGGCGCACGGGCCTCCGTGGCCAGCCCAAGCCTCGAGCCCGGATGCTCGACTCCCCCAGGGCAGGGCGCAACGGCGGAGGGTCCCGCGGGATCTCTGGGAGCTCCCCCTCCTGGTCCTCCTCCTGGTCCTCCTCCTCCTCCTCCTCCTCCTCCTCCTCCCCCTCCTCCTCCTCCTCTTCCTCCTCCTCCTCCTGCTCCTCCTCCTCCTCCTCTTCCTCCTCCTCCTCCTCCGCCTCCCCCTCCTCCTCCCCCTCCTTCGGCCCAAAATCCGCTTCAAACGGGGCCGCCGACCCCTGTCACAGCCCACCCTTCCCACTGTAGAAAATCCCTGGGCCCGAAACGAGCCTTCAGTGAGGCCGAAGTGCGAGCGGCGGAGGGTCCTGCGCGATCTCTGGGATCTGGTCGCTCGGGGCCATCAGCGTGAAGCCGGGCGCCGCGATAGCCAGGAAATGCCAAAGGGGGTCACCACCGAGGAAGGGGGAAGGACTCGGCCAGGCGAAACTCGGTCAGGCTGAACTCGGCCAGCTGAGCTCGGCCAGGCTGCACCCGACCCGGGCCGAGTTCAGCCTGTTCGAAGTCAGCCTCGCCGAGATCAGCTGACCGAGTTCAGCTTGGCCGAGTTCAGCCTGGCCGAGTGTTTCTTGTCCGAGTCTAGTTGATGCCCGTATGGACTCTGGGCAGATCCGTAATCCACCACCGTGCCCCGAGGCACGAAGTGGTGCGTCACGACCCCAAACCGCCTCCAAGAGACTTCTAAAAGACCACCCAAGAGATTCCCACGGGCATCCGAAAAGATTCACACCTGCAACATAGGCAATAAATGGAGATGGGTCGAAAGCCAGTAGATAAAGACGTTGGCACGGTGAGCTGCATGGCAAGGCGTCCCCGCAACTCGAGTCGCCGCAGCTTCCTGAGTGTACGGCTTGCCGTCTTACTGGTAGTCTACGGACTGTATCCTCCTGTCCTCTGCCTTGGGTTGCAGAGTAGGCTGCGCCTTTCCTGCAACCGCTCTCCCACTCTCAGCACTGCCTGCCCCCGAGCAGGCGGGATGAACGACAAGAGGAAGCGAAGCGTGCGGCGTCCCCCTCCTTCATGGTTGCGGGCCAGTTGAACGAGTTGGAACGAGCACGGATTGAAGAGAGGTGGGGGTAGCGCAGAGGATGTCCAGAACTGTGCACAGCAGCGACTGCACGGAGAGGCAAGCAGGTGATAGCAGCAAGTCTTGACGAGGCTCGTACGGTTGTTTCTCTTGAAGTGGCCGCTCCCCCCCCTCCCCCTCCCCCTCCCCCTCCTCCTCCTCCTCCTCCTCCTCCTCCTCCTCCTCCTCCTCCTCCTCCTCAGATGCCACAAGCCAGCCCTACAGAAACGACAGCGCACCCTGGATGAGCGCGGCATCTTCAACACGGGCACCTCGCGCACGGTCGCGGACTGCATTTGGCGAGCAGCGGCGCGCGCGGAGGACGCCACCGGCGAAGAGAAGGGCCTTCCTCGTCAGCCTGGGGTGCAGGGAAGTGCTCCCCCCTTGCCTGTCCTGCGCGTGGTCGTCGGGGCCTTCCGCTGGGGGGCGCACGCTCCTCCCGGAAGGGCACCGCGGGCGACGGGCTGCACCCCCCCAGAGCGGACTCGTCGCGGGCTGCTCCTCCGCCGCCCACGCCCTGCAGGCCCTGCCCGGGGAGCGAGCCGAGGGCGCAGGCCGGGGCCCACCCCCGAGAGGCCGGCACCCCCGGTGCACGCGGACGACGTCGGCCGGGAGGCGGCCGCGAACGATGGCGGCACGTGCCGGGGCCTCGTGGCGGAGGCCGCCCGTGGGCTCGAGCGCGCGCGTTTCACGACGAGCTCAGGGTGCAGGCGGCCGACGCCGAGGGCACCGTGCCGGGGGAAGCAGCGACGCCATCACGGAGGGAGGCCTGCGCGGGTCGGCGGGCCTGGGCCTCCCCAGGAGAAGGCTTGCAGCATCGACCGGGAAGCCTGCCCGCAAGTCCAAGCACGCAGGCAGGCACCAGGAGACCCAGACCTCAGTCCGCCGTCCTGGAGCAGATGTTCGTGCGGGACGTCCGCGACACGGCAGTACGATCAGGCACAACCATCCAGGCCCAGTGAGAGCTTCTCCTCCTCCTCCTCCTCCTCCTCCTCCTCCTCCTCCTCCTCCTCCTCCTCCTCCTCCTTCCCCTCCTCCCCCTCCTCCCCTCCTCCCCTTTCTCCTCCTCCTCCTCCTCCTCCTCCTCCTCCTCCTCCTCCTCCTCCTCCTCCTAAGGCGGCCAAGCAGCGGCTCGGCATGGCGTATCGTGCGATCACGGTCTATAAGAAGACGCGGTGTATCCTGCACTCAGCCATCCCGCCCATGCAGAAGTGGGGAGGCGAGGTCAGCGGCTTCACCCTGCAGGAGCTCGACGGCATGAGGCGCATCACCAGGCAAGCTACGGGCACGGCCACATGTCATCGGACGTGTTCGGCGCCATCCACCCCAAGGTCGACCCCATCGGCAGGGCCGCCTTCATGCCCCTGGGCCGCTACCTGGAGGAGATGTGGAGGGCCACGGATGAGTGGCACCGACATGGGAAAGTGTTGTCCGTCAGCACCCTGCGCAGAGTGTCCGAGTGGGCCCTCCAGTACAACCTTGATGGTAATTCGGAGACAAAGCCCGTCGGAGCGGCGCTGAAGGCAACCACCGTGGCAGGGTGGCCGGTGCAGAGTGCAGCAGTCTTCGTCTCGCCACGGTACGGCACAATGTCCGCACTCGAGAGCGCGCGCCCAAGCGCATGGAGAAGCCGTACCTCCGCGACGTGCTTGACCGAGTCCGTGAGCGTGCCTCGGGCAGCGCACCACGGCGAGAAGGACTGGACGAGCGCGCTCTCCCAGACGCCTGGTGGGAGGTCCTCGCGGCGACGGTCGGCAGCGAGCACCTCACCCCGCTGGAGAGGCGGGGGCCACCACCGCGACCGTGGGCGGCGCCTGCCTCAACGGGTGGCAGCGTGGTCCCGTGGGGCCACGACGAGAGCGCGGGCACGTGCAGGCGCTGCGGCGTGCGGGGCGACCCGCAGCACCGCCCGAGCTCGTGCGTGGCCTTCGCTGAGGGCCACGGAGGAGTGGCCCCGCCTCCGCCCCGCCGCCAGCAGCAAGCGCGAGGGAACGAAGGTAGGCTCGGTCCGTTCTGAGCGCGTGCCCCGTCGCTGCCCGTGAGGCCCGATGTGGCCTGCCCCAGGGCGCCTGAGAAGATGATCGCGCGTGCCCTTGTTGGAGGCGTGCCCGTGCCCGTCAATAGTTCTGCTTTCGAGCCCGACCTGCCTCGTGCTAGCGACAGGCCAGCCACCACCAGTGCCCTTGAGGAGCTCCGAAGGGCAGGTTGGGCGGTGGTTCCGCGGGGGCGGGACGGGACTGTTCAGAAGCTCCTCGGCTCTCTCACCTCCCACGGGGCTCCCTCTCTCCGCTCACGCGGCCGAGCTGCAAGCCTGCTGCCGAGGGGCAGACTATGCAGACGGCAGCCAGCCGCATGTTGGCGACAATGCGGCGGTGTTGGCCGCCCGAGCACGCGGGTGCGCGTGCACCTCCAGCCCAGCGTGGAAGGATGCTGGGCACTGGCGCCGAGTGCGGCGCGGCGACCTCGTACACAGAGCGGGTCTGAAGTTGAAGGCTCACCAGGGCGTTCCCGCCGCCCCTCAAACGGGGGGTGAGTGGCGGGTCGTCCTCAACTCTGGGCTGACGGGGCGGCCAAGGAGGCGCTCAGCAT